TATCGGACACCACCCACCAATTGCAGAATTTTGCATGCTGTCACTTTGTTGATCCCTTTGTCAACCAAATCTTCCACAAAGATGAACTCTTGCAGGTCCGACACGTTGGTCACACCAAGTGTAATCATCACCTCACTTACATGAGGGGTATACACCCAAAGGTGTTCGTTGCGAGCCATCCAATTTTCAATTGGCTCCTCTGGATTTTGAAGCCGAGTACCAGTGGACTCAGCCACCGAATTCTTTTGTTCATCATCTTCTGCTTCATCCAGGATACCCTTTTCACCTTCTTTTTGTGACACATTGGTCATTTGCAGCGCTTTTGGTGCTGAGGATGATGAAGATTCAGCTCCCCCACTCGCAGGTGGCTGAAAAGTGCTCCTGTCCGAAATCTCCCATCCTCTCTCTTTTTCAAACCGGACCTTATTGGCCACATGTACCAAGTGTTTCAGGTGCGCCAGCCGCTCATCTGACATCTCGTCGTGGGAAAATCTGCAGGAATTTAACCCCTTACGGCAATGTCCTCTGAGGTAATAATCGAAACAGCAATGGTGGAACCCCGCGTCCCTTAGTGCCTTCCTGGAAGCATTGTCCCAAGCTTTGCCGGGTTCCCAAGTCCCTTCCAATGCTATGTCATCGTTGTGAAGATACCTGCATGTAGTCCCATATTTACAACCACCTTGATTGTAATACAGACACAGCCGACTTTTTGGCTCACCCAACGTAGGCTCACCCTTTGATGCACCTTTACCAAAGTTGTACTTGGCCCGGAAGGCTGAATCCTCCCGCTCCTGCTGCGCCTCATCCACTGTGCCTTCCTCTGTAGGAGGGTCACCAATGTTCCCATCCTCATCTCCAGGTTTTTGGCTGCTCCTTGGCTCAGTTGGTCCACCCCCTGGCCAACTTTCACCATAACGACGATGCTCATAGGAACACTCATCACCATTGCGACACCTCCCCTGATTGAAGAACTTGCACAGCTTGCTGTATCCAGGTGACACAGTCTTTGGAGTCATGTGAGCCTTTTTGTACTGGTCAGGATCCATGTAGGCTTCCATTGGCTTGCCCTCCCTTTTACTCATGGATTCCACTGCACCATCAAGCTCCTGCAAAAATCGCTTGGTGTCCAGCCAAAGCGCGTTCCAAAGCTCATCTTCCCCTTGACTCAGCACCGTTGCCACCGCTTCACCCACAACTGGTCGAGTAAATCTCCTTTTCCTACATGCCAGTTCGAAGAGCGCGTTGTGGTACTGTTTTCGGGAAAAGGTGGATGTCTTTCCCAAACCTGTGCTTTCTGCACCATCGGGCTTCCAACCATCACTTTGCAAGATGCCATACGCGCGCCGAGCTTCCGCATTCAGGAATGCATGATCTGCAACACACTCCTGTAGCTCTTCCATTGGACGACCCAACAGCATCCCAGTGATTTTGCCCACATAGGCCTTATCAGCCTTTCCATCCTCAAGAAGAGCTTTATAGATCTTTTCTCCATAAAGTTGCCTTTCCTCTTGTTCTTCTGAGGATAACTCCTGATCAGCAGCCCTTTCATCGGATTGCTCTTCCTCCCGTTTCCAGTCCCATTGACTGTTGGAATCTTGGTACCATTGACCAGCATACCATGAATCTGTCCACCACGTACTCCAGCCGCTGGCTTTCCATTTGCGCCGTGTCGAAGAAGAGTCCTCCTCGTCCTCTTCCAAAACCAGAAAGGTGTCCAAGATCACGGTACCATCATCTTCCACTCGTTTCACTGTTCCATTGACAGTGTCACCAAATTTGAACTGATGTGCGTTGTTCCCTTCTGCAGGAACCAATACATTCACATCACCATGGTCCAAAAAGGCTCCATACCCAGACCAACGATCTCATCTCCCTCTTGATAGTAATGCTCCCCAGGTGAATCCAAGGCACCCGCTCTGGGCACTTTCTTCGTTGGTTCTTCAGAAACCGGAATTGTTTCTTCGGCTCCCGGAACATCCCTTGTTTCCACCTCGGAGGCTAACTGCTTGTCCTGATCCACGAGTCCCACAGGCTCATCTCCTTTGTGCTCCTGGATTTCAGGACCTTCCTTTTTTCCAGCCAATGGCTTTGCCTCATCTGTTGGAGTTCGCTCGGTGTCGACTTCCGGCGATCTTCCAGACGGCAATACTTCCCCCTTCATGGGAGCGGACCCATCATTGGAGTCTTTTGTAACACCTTCTGCAGCAGGCAAATTTTCTTCCACTGCAGGGCGATTGGATTGCTCATCCACGGCAGGTACATTTTCTTCCACCGCAGGCTCCTTTGGCTCCATGGTTTCCAAAGGAGAATTGCCACCATCATTGACCACAGCTGCCTCATCGGCTCCGGTGTAGCCCTTGCCATTTCGTTCCTCGCGGCTAACTTCAGGTTGCACCAGTGCGTCCACCTGTGAACCTCCGTCATCAGCTGCTGCGGAGACCTGCGCCCCATTGTTGCAGTCGCCCGTGGAACGTGACACCATATGCACCTCAACCCGTGCTTCTTTCGCACTCCAGGTACTATCTGGCGCATTGACCCGCGCATCATTGGCGCTCCAGGCCTCATCTTTCAGATCTTCCGTGTCTCCAGCTATTCCAGAAGCTTCTTTTTCCCCTTGAATGGCAAGACTCTTGGCACCAAACGAAGAGACCTCCTCAGTTGTAACACACAACTTTTTCCCTCCGTCCTCCACATCTCCAGGATCACCTTCCTGAACGACAGGTACCATATCCACCACTCTCTCTTCTGCAGCCGACACAGTTCCGATCTCCACATTGGGCAATTTTTCTTCTGGACCCACCGATTCCACCGCTGCCACACCCTCAGAAAGCGCTTCCATTTCTTCCCGATCCAGATGTTTTCCAGCGATGTCTGCTCGGATTCCAGAAATCCCTTCCTCATCAGGAGAACCCGAGGTCGGGGCGTCACCACCAGCCCTAAGACCGCTATCCCTGATAATAGAGGAAAATTTTTTTCACCTACACTATTTACACTACCCTGGAATGCCCTCGTAGACTCAGGCGTCGGAGTAGATGATGAAGAACCCAGTGCAGCCTCCATTTCCAGCTCATTGCCCGAAGGAGACCCAACCACCTCGTCACTCTTCATCTTTTCACCTACAACCGGCAACGTCCACTTGCTTTCCTGCGTATCCAGGCAGTAGTAATATTGTCTCCCATCTTCGTGGAAGTGCCATTCCCACGTTGTCCCATCGCACGCTTTGATCAGATGCTCATCTTTCCGAAAACCATCCCTTTCAGAGACTTGACGCATCTCATCCTCTTCTTCTGACAACTGGCGCAACCTTTCAGCCTCCATCTGTAAGATCTCCTCCTCCCCCATGGCGTATTCAGCAGTTGGTGCAGCTTCAAAGCTGTCCGCACCCTTCTGTTCGTAACCGCTTCCACCACCCAGGGAACTCGCCGAGGGATCCCCTTTAATCTTGTTCAGAGGCCTCCTGGCAGCTTGCAGCACCTCTCCACTCAGATTGGTCTGAGACCCTTGGTCCACCCTTCGGCCCGAAGTTGAAGACGACGGCTGATACCCATGCTTTTGCAACACGCGTAAAACAGTCACCTCCATTTCACGGTCTATACCACCAGTCGCGTCCCAGTTCCTTTTTTCACCAGGCTTTGGCGAGACAGCACGTCCTTCAGCTTCAGCACTGCTAACCATATCCACATTGGGATTCATACCCACATTGGGGTCTTCTGCAACCAAGGCTTCTTCCAGATGTTCTTCAGCGCCAGGCATCACCTCTTCCAGCACCGCCCTTTCACCCAGAGACTCAGCTGCACCATTTCCAGCTCCACCATTCTGTCCACCATCCGAGGAAGGCTGGAGCCATCGCTTGGGAGAAGGCATTGCTTCTTGATCCCAAAAACCTTAAGAGAACACTCAACCGCAGGGAACCTAGTTTGGGCTCATAACCTACGGGGGCAACCGCAAGGGGACTAACCAGGGTATCAACCCCCAACAGTTGCCTGAATGAATTTCCCAGAACGAACCAGAAAGACAAACCCACAGGGTTAAAGTTCACCAGGTCAAAGGAAGGGGCACCCTTACACAAGTAGAGGGGCACTAACCCAACCCTCACTCCCAAACACGGACTTTTTTCTTTGGACGGACTGGCCATCCTTGAGCCATAAAAGATTTCCGGGTACGTTGACCCTTTCAACTCCCAACACTAACTCCTTTCTACAATACCAGCTGCAGCTCCGCATAGGGTTTAAGGGCTCAGTGTTAGGATACCCACTCAAGTTCTATAGACTCGAATTTGGGGGTTCATGGAGAAAGAAAGATGTTGTGGCCCTTGATTCATGATGATGGGTACAGTCCCCACGGCGCTGAGGTCGCAGATGCTGTCACCTACAACAGCCTTCTCAGTGCCACTTGGCTGTAGGGTTCTAAGCTTAGGGAGGATGCCCACAAAGACATGCACCTCGTCCTGAAATCGGAGATCATTTTGTTTGGGAGCCGGGATGTACTGCAAGTCTACACAGACATCAAGCATAGCGAGCTTGATTTTGTGCCGGCACTAAGTGCTCTTTTTGTTCCAGGTATCTGCAGGTATGCATGTGTTGTGAAAGACACGGGCCTTGCTGGCTGAGGCATTCGAGAGGCACGGTCTTTGGGCTTCGGCGATGGCAGTGGTTGAAGACATGCAACTTGGCGCCGAGCTGCTGACCATCTAGAAGACGCTTTTCCAAGCATCCCTCACCATTGGAAGCCCTGCAAGCCCTCCAGCTGAAGGCAGCAGACATTGGTCCGCGCAGACGTGATTACCTTCAACTCGCTGGTGAGCTCCTGCGGAAGATGTGGCTTGCTTGCCTGAAAAACGTGATTTGAGAAGGCCGGCGGAGTGAAACGCGGCAGTGCTTCAGTCATGGTTCGATTCAGTCGAGTGGGCCGGCCTTGATGCTTGTCGTGGTAGCTTCGCAGGCAGACGTTTTTGCGCTGGTTGCTGAGGTGGTGACTGGCAGAGATCGCTGTGGGTGCTGATGCAGATGGAGTCCAGTGCTGTGCCGCCTGATGAGTGTCCCGATTGCAAGACACAGAGCGCTGAGCTGGGGGGAAGGGGAGGGCGGGGGATGGTCTTCCATGCGCCCATGCCGCGTGGCAGGATCACGATTGCAGCTGCCATCAGCTCCTGTGAAAGAGGCTGGTTTTTGTCGGTTCGCCCTGGACCCCGGACCCTGCTGCCGTGCTATGAACATTGCTCGAACGCGCAGGCATGCAGTGGCAACTGGCGCTTCTCTTGTTGGGGAGGATGCCGGCTCAGGACGGAATGTGTGGGATTTGTTGTGCTGATTGGGCAAAATTCGCATTCAGTAGGTGAATTTTGAAAGCAACCTGTTTTTTCCCCCCGCATGTTTGCTCACGCCTTGCGCGCGCTGATTCTTATGTTGGGTATGGGGCGTTTACAAAAACCGGGGACCCCTAAAATAGACCCCCAAATAGTAGGACTCCCCCTGTACGCAGGACCCCAATATTAGGACCCCAAATATCTGGAAACCACCAAACGGATGAGCAAGGCCAGGTGTGCTTGAGCAAGGCCAGGTGTGGGTTTAGGGTTTAGGGTTTAGGGTTTAGGGTTTAGGGTTTAGGGTTTAGGGTTTAGGGTTTAGGGTTTAGGGTTTAGGGTTTAGGGTGACTGAAAGTTGTGAGCGCCTGAGGCGAAGTCTATCACGTGAGCGCATCACATATACGGTTGACGCATGTAAAACCAGAAGAGATGAAAGGTAAGATCATGAAGGCAGAACGGCGCTTGAATAATTGGCCTTCTCGTGTGCATAGTAGTCGAGCAGCTGTCATATACTTGTGTCTTCTGACTCGCGTGGTATCTTCTGACCTGCTTTGATTTCCTCGTGTGTTTGAAACGGGGTTTAAAGATATTGCTCGGGTATTTCGTTTCGTTAGTCAATGCTTCGATTTTCCAGGCTGCTTGCTTAGATGGGTGAGCACAGGTTTTGTTTCTCAATCGGTTCAGGCACCCCCTTGCAAAACCTATGAAGACGACGAGTTGTCTACTCCATGCAGGGCTTTCCAGGCCTAAAGATACAATCAGTTGGTCATGCTACACTTATGGGACTGTCAAGAGCTTTGTTGCTGTACACCATGTCGTTCGTCTGCAATCACTTTCCCCGTCGAAATAAGATGCTTGTGCGCCTACAACAAAAATTCCATTCATCTTGGGCTCATTCCGTTTTCATCCGTTGTTCTGTTAGGCTTCTACAGCAATGAACGCGGCGAGGTGAAATTGTTGGATGCCCGTCCCAGGCTCCCAGGCTACCACTAGAAGTCACTAAACTCTTCATGAACACAAAGACGAGCACGCAGCTGCCGAGCACTGGGAAGCGAGATAGTATTCTCGTGCCGCGTTCCTTGCCTGGCACCTCAAAGACAACGGAGTTCGCGAGGCCTTGTGCCCCGGGGCTACTGCTTTCGGAGCGGCCATTACCGCCTGCGAGGCGAGAGGTTCAGGGTCGACCGTCTCGGTTTCAGTTAAGATAGTTAAGGCGTAGCACACCAGTGGAGATCGCCCGTTGCACATCAAAATGGGGTTCGCTACATGCACTCATGAGCCTGGTTTGAGAGTCCAGATGCACAAGAGGACTTAGCCTTATCCCAGCTGCTACCCCGAGTCTAAGTTGCAAAAAATGGCTCGGGGCTAGCAGACTGCGAATCTGATATAGCGGGCGTCTCTAGAGGAGACTAGAGATCCCTGAAACCCTTGAGCCCCCCAATGGCCATGAGTCTTTGGATGTGCAGCCTCATGGCAAATCGTGCTTGTAGTAGAAGCACAGAGAAGTACAGTCGTAGCAACAGTATCGACAGGACCCAAGGACCCCAAGAATATAGACCCCAAAATAATCGGATCCCCTTATACTGGTAGTAAGGATCCCACTGAGGTACGATTTTGGAATCTCCCATGAGTCCCCTGGTTCTTAGTAGGGGATGAGGGAACTACAGGGCCCCATGTATATCCTTTCAGGGAGTATATATATATATATAGAAAAAAAGGTACCTCATTCTACCCTTTAAGGGAGTATATAGGAACCTCACTATATCCTGTAAGGGAATATACACACACATATATATAGGTACCTCATTCTACCCTTTAAGGGAGGAAAGGCACCTCCTTCCTTCCTTCCTTCCTTCCCTACTGAGAATCAGCCAGTAATGGCCACCCAGGTGTTGGGACTTTGGGCGCCAGCTTTGGCGTTGGTCCAGGAGGCCGCGGTGGCTCCGGGCTTGGAGGTCCATGGTACTTATGAACCAACTAGAAGGGTACTTAGGACTGTACTTATAGGGCTTGGGGTTTAGGGTTTAGGGTTAGGGTTGTTGGGTTTAGGGTTTATGGTTCAGGGTCCAGGGTTCAGGGTTCAGGGTAACCATATTCGGGCACTTAAGGGGCTTATAAGTGGGTTGTAAGTACAGTTAGCATTGGTTGATAAGTACCATGCACCTCCAAGGTGGGGAGTGTTAAATTGGGGCGGGGAGAGCTTTTTTCAGATGCCCTTTGTAGGCCTTCTGTAAAGCCCTTGTGGCATGAATATGCATAAAGCAGAAGGCATCCGCCCCCCAAACATGGACCCCAATCTAGGTCAGCCCCCGAAACTGCTGCAAGCTAACCAGAAAGCAAAGTACAAGCTGCTTAGCCGTGGAATTCAGCCCAATCAGGCGCACGTGGCTGGGGCCTGCAACATCGTCGTAGCCAATGCGGCCGTCAGTGCCTGCTCCAAAGGCGCGCCGGCTCATTCAGAAGCGACCCAATCCTTCCAAGGATCACAGATGCATCTGGACTCCCCCCCAGTCACAGTCCCTGCAGTCTTGTAGGAGTAGGTGTGCCCGTGCGTGCTCAATGCCACTAGCAGTCTGCGAAGAGGGAACAAGGAAGTAGCAGGTCAACATGTGTACAGCTCTCGTTGCCCTAAAGTCTCTAGTGGCGCGCGCCAGGAGGCGACTGGGAGCGTGCGCTGTCTTTACTGTGCGGCTTCGGGTCCTGGCAATTGGAGCCGACGGTCATCACCTACAATTCCGAACCCCGCCTTGGAGGAGGATTAGCTGTAGGCTACTTTGGGAGGGATCTTTGGGCGTCAGAGAAGGCCCAAAACGCCAATACCCTCAGAGCCTTGGCGCCCAACGACACTTCATCACGACTTGATGTATGTGCTGCCGTGGTTTGAGTCTGCCTGGTGTTTTGGCATGAAGCTGCCGCAACTCCAAAACCTAGCCTCATGTTGGATGTCGGAGTGGTCGAGTCCAAGCCCTCCAAACCTTCCACGAACGATGATCCTAGATAGGATAAGGGGGAACCTTACAAGGGAACCCTTCTAAAGCCCTCTTCTGGTTTTATTAAAAAGGGGACCTTATTCAGAGGGTCCCCAAGGGTCCCCCTAATCCTATCCCCTAGATGAAGGTGTTGGATGCCATGCAGCAGAAGATGGAGTGGGGACTGGCACTACGCCTGATGCATCGTATGCAAGAGGAGGCGGGCTCAGGTTGAGGGCGCCAAAAGGACAAGCGCAAGAGCCTCAAGAATTTCCAATATCATCTCCGTGAATGATTCATGCTACAAGCTTCCCAAGATAAACTTCAGGTTCTAACCAAAGGCCTTGCAAAGTCTCGGCGTTATAAGGGCTGTTTTCACGTTTATTGCGGAAGCCCGTGCGAGGAAGTTCTTCCCGACGCTATTGGCTACAGCACCGCGATCAGTGCTTGTGCAATAGGCCGAGCCGCGTCGAAAGACTATGAGCAAGGAACGAAAGGAGGGACCCCTTATAAGATCTTATAAGGGACTTCCGGGGTTCCTTGGTTCTTGTTTAAGGGGCTACTTAGGTATATAGGGCTCTGTATCCCCCTTAAACTGACTTACAGTTCTCCTTGAATCTGTGCACCAGATACGGTTGTAGTATCAGTCGTCATCTTGCGAAGAGAAGTACAAGGGCATGTTGGCAGCCCCACACAGGCTCAACGTTAAGCCCGAGACGGTATCGACATCTTATGCCTGTCCCGAATTGTCTGTGTGTCTGTGTGTGCATCGCGAATCCTACGGTCGTCCTGTAGGAAAGTGAGATTTCTTTTGCTGCGAGTTTCGGGAGCTACTCGGAAGGCCTGTCGATATTCTTGGTTTGCATGGAGGGTCGATTATCCACCCCCCAATCCTAGTAGTCCTGAACCCTTGCGCCCTAAGCACCATAAACCCTAAGCCCTACACCCTACACCCTAAACCCTACACCCCAAACCCTAAACCCTAAACCCTAGACCCTAAACCCAAAAGGTGAGCAGCCGAGAAGAGCTCAAGCACTGATTGAGGAGTTGGAGCTGCGGACATGCCTGTCCGTCGCATCCCATCTGCGCGCAAAAGGGGGAGGTGACACATCCTCGCATCGGCCCGAGGTTAGGCGATACTTTGTGGTTTGTGGTTGTTGCAGGGTGTTTTTTTTTTCAGGTGAGCACGCTGACCAGCGAAAGCCTTTGCGAGTTGTCGTGAAGCTTTCACCCCCCAGTCCACAGAGTCCTGGCCGTCCACCGTTGTATGGTAAGCCGTGCCAGAATGTTCCAAGATGCCACGACTTCTTTCATCCCACATATCCCGCAACAAGGCCTTGAGGGCCAGCCTTTCTATGGATGTTCGAGGCTACCCTAAACCCTCAACTTTTAAACTGGCCCCGAACCATCACCAGCCCTCTAGCGCCCTAAACCCTGGATCTCTGCACTTTGTCTTGGCTCAAAGCTACGGGACTGCCGGCCGGCGCTGCCAGACAAGGCCGGTTTGTGGGTTCCTAACTCTAAACCCTGAACCCTTTTAGCCCTAGACCTCAACCTTGAAGAGACTGGCAGTCCGAAGCGTTCTGCGAGCTCCCTTGTGTGTCGTGTGTTGAGTCGAAGATGCCGCAGGCCTAGTGTGCTGCCGGTGCATGTTCCACGAGCCGCGGCGTCTTTGCCCGGGGCTTGATGTCGTTGTTTGCTTTCTTCTCTTCGCTTGTGTGTGTGGGCGCGAGTGTAGGCGTATGTGTATGTGTTTGCACGTTTTTTTATTTGTGCAGGCATGTCCAACAATCCATGAATATTAATTAGATGAAATCTGCTAGGGCTCAGGCTACAAAGCCAAGGATTACCTCCAATGGGTAAGAGAGAAGCTGCGCGACACGGCAGAATGTTCGGGAGCAACCTGCATGCCAGCTGAGAGCAGAAACGCAACGCTCTCTGCAGCACATCGTTGCGCATCATTGCCAAATTAGGCTTCAACGAAATGCAGGCTGGCAGGCCGGAGATGTAGAGGTGCCGTCTGACCTGAGATACTCGGTGGCCTGACCAATTTAGATCTGGCAAAACGAGATGGCGATGGTATTCGTATCTGCTTTCCACACATCCTGGTCAGAGCAGGCTTGATGCTTCTTCCAGAGAAAAGGTTTCATCACCAACGTCTCATCACTACGCGCACTGGTCACCTTCGCTATTAGAATTTGCCAGATTACGTCGCTCTTCTGTGCGGCTGGTTGTTACCGTGCTTTGTGTACTTCAGGAGCGCAGCCACTGCATGCCAATCGCCGCGGTGAGTCTGCCCTATGAGACCCTAAATCTGTCAGACCCGCGAGAGTCGAAACCCTGTGCAAAGCCTTCGAAGCCTTGCCTGCCGAAACCCACCCAGGCTAGAGAGGCATGGACGGGCTCCCACAGCCACCACAGCCACCGCCCCCGCCCCCGCCGGGGTGTGGGGGACTCAGGGAACAGGCTGCGGGTTTGCTTGGGAATCCCAGAGGTACCATTACAAGGAAAATATACCCGAGTTTTTTCTGGGCGGGGCAACTTGGATTTGCCGTGGCTTGATGAAGGGGCGGGATGGCTTTGAGAGCGAAAGGCATGAGAGGGTTTAGAAACATGTGGAGGTTTTTGGGCTCATGGGGTTGCTGATTTTGGGTGTACCTCGGGTTGAGAGAGAAGCTGGTGTGTTTGGGAGACAGGCTTTGCGCTTAGCAGTTCAGAGTGCAAATTGTGGTGCGAAAGGGTGGCGGGGTTTAGGATGAGAAAGTCTGCAGCTCAAACGTACTTAGGCTGAACGTCGGCGCTCAGAAGTTCGCAAGGTTCCACTCAAGAGATGGGGTCGTAGCAACCGATGTATATAATATGTATATATATTTCCAACACATACATACATACATATATATATATATATGTATATATATATATACATATATTCCCTCAGACTGAGTGAAGATGGGTTGGGGCATCTCTGAGCCGAGGTGGTGGCAAGGATGGCCCAGGCCTTGGGGATTTCGGATCAGGCTTTCAGCCCCAGGGAAGCAACGGAGGCTTCGGCGGGCCGGAGGGCTACGCCTATGGTTCGCAGGGTGGATACCCAGCAAGTTACGGGGCAGCCCCGGGCGGCTACGGAGCACCCGGCGATGTGTCGTACGGCGGAGGTTTTGGGGCACCCCCGCCCCCTCCTCAAAGTGGAGCTCCTGGCTACGGTGGCTACCCCGGCGGGTATGACATGTACCAGCAAGGCTTCACGCCCCCTCCCCCGGGCAGCTATGGCGGAAGCTACAGCAGCTTCGATGCGGGTCGAAGCCGGGACTTCGAAGGAAGAGACCGGGACATGGGACGAGACAGTGGCCGCGATGGCGGCCGAGGATATGATGGCGGAAGGGGAGGCGACAGAGGAGCCGATCGAGGGTCCGATAGGGGTGACCGAGGGCGGAGAGATTTCGATCGACCGGGCGGTGGCGGAGACAGAGGTGGGGGAGACAGAGGTGGCGGCGGCAGGGATTATGATCGAGGAGGCCGGGACTACGACCGGGGAGATAGAAGTCGCGGCTACGATGACAGGGCAGCCGACAGAAGAGACAGCGGAAAAGGCTACGACTTCGGAAAGGGCTATGGCTTGGCGCCCAGAATCGAAAGCGTCATGACTACAAGACCGGGAGCAATGAACTAGAACACTAGAATAGGTGTATGGTCCGGTGCAGTGTGCTCATCATGGCCAAGCAGTTGTGCACTCAATGCCCGAGACGAGCCTTTTGGGCGTCTCGTGTGTGCTGTCCATTTCGCACCTGCATCAGAGCATGTTGTGAAACCCAACCATAGTCAGCAAATCGATCGAAGACACCAACCCTAGAAGACCCCAAGTCCTACCTCGTAAGGCAGCCCGCCAGCAATCCTGAAGCCTCCAACGCTCTGAATCCCAGGTCGCGGCGTTCCCCTCCCTGAGCCTGTGGATCTCCAGTTGAAGAACCTGCCTCTAGATGCCACGGCACCTCGGCGCAGAGTGCTGTCTCAGGTGCAGATGAGTCTAATTAAGGTCAGAACCCTAAACGCAAAACACCGTGGATCCCGAAAGCCTATGTACCGATGTTGCGCAACTGGCGGAGCGTAGTTTTGCTTGAGCAGACACGGCCGAGCTATGATTTCTATTCATAGGACGAGGGTGATGAGGGCCGGGGGTGGGGGGGGGGGGGGGGGGGGGGGGGGGGGGGGGGGGGGTTGGGAGGCAACAGTTTTGACGGCATGTGCGCGTCAGGCGTGGGGATCTGTCTGGGATGGTTTCTTGCCATTGTTGCATGCAGCATGCGTGGACTAACATAATTGCCATCATCATCATCATCATCATCATCATCATCATCTGCTTAGCGTACAGCATTGTACATCTTTAGGCTCTCGTCGCCAGTATCGTTTTCATCGCCATCATCAACTAACATCTTATCATCATCATCATCATCATCATCATCATCATCATCAGCATCAGCATCAGCATCAGCATCAGCATCAGCAGCAGCATCAGCAGCAGCATCATCATCATCATCGTCACCACCACGAGCAACATTTGTTTCATGACGTTTTACTTGCACTTTCACGGTCATTTGCATCATTGCCATCACCACACGCAGCAACATCACCGTAATGATCAACGGCATCAACATCTTCGACAAAAACACACCAACATTACGACAATGTTACCATCAGCCGAACCAGCTTTTAGGGTCCAACATTGATATAGCATCATCGCCACCATTACCCGCAACATGTGTATCGTGTTTTGACATCATCGCCATCACCATCACCACCACCATCATCATTATCATCATCGTCACCACCATCACCATCATCACCACGAGAAGCAGTTGCATCATCATGTTTTGCGCGCATATTCATCTCAGTCTGATGGTGCCGGTGTGGGTGTGGCAGGGGCATGGTGGATTGTTGTTGTTGTTGTTGTTGTTGGTGGTGGTGGTGGTGGTGGTGGTGGTGGGTGGTGGTGGTGGTGGTGGTGGTGGTGGTGGTGGTGGTGGTGGTGGTGGTGGTGGTGGTGGGTGGTGGGTGGTGGGTGGTGGTGTGGTGGTGTGGTGGGGGGTGGATGGTGTGGTAATGGTGTGAGGAGTGTGGTTGTGCAGTGATCGTGTTTTGTGGTTGGGGTGTTGGCGGTCAGGGGGGGGGGGGGGGAGATGCTGGAGGTGTTGTAATATGGCAGGGGTGTGGTGGGCGTGTGGCGGGGGCTTGGCCGGGTGTGGCGGTAGGGCTTGGTAATGATCTGGAGGGTTGGCGGGGTTGTGGTTGTGGTACTGTAGGGTAGGGTAGGGGTCACGCGGGAGCGTTGTGCTGATTGGTGCTGGGGAGTCTAGTAGTGAGGTCTGGCACGCAATGCGAAGGGGTCTCACAGATACTGCGCATACCCAGGGCTAGCTTGCGTTGGCCTCGGCATGCACATCAAGTATTGAGAGAGGCTAGCAATGGCCTGGCCCGCCCACCTCATCCTGCCCTAAACCTTAATTATTGGTATTTTCCCAACATCGTGCAAGTTGCACAAGACGAATGAACTGACCACTGCCAAGGAAGCGGCACTTAGAAGCCTCTTTGGGCAGAAGGCTGGTTTGTCCTGGCGGTTTAGGTTTCGGCCGCAAAGGGTCGAGGAGGGGAGGTTGTTTTCGAGCTCCGCGCGTTCCTCCAACTTTCTCAGCGGCTGAAGCTCGCAAGTCGGGAGCCACTAAACCCAAACCCTAAACCCTATACCCTAAACCCTAAACCCTAAACCCTTTCAAGCTTTCTCGGCGCACCCGGCTTGGGTGGAGGCTCCGAGGTGGAGTGGAGCTCTTATTTCGTTCGGGTCGGGGTTTGGTGCTGAGGATTCAGATCCCGCACGGGTTTCAGCCTGCCTGCTCTTACACCCACTTTTGGCATGCACCAGGGTGGGAGAAGCCCTGCAGCTCCGGTGAAACCCAGGGGTCGCCTCGCAGCTCTAAGTTGTATTTAGGGTTTAGGGTTTAGGGTTTAGGGTTTAGGGTTTAGGGTTTAGGGTTTAGGGTTTAGGGTTTAGGGTTCAAGGTTCAGGGTTCAGGGTTCAGGGACACTACGTGGCGTGCTGTGTCTGGGGCAGGGCCTGACGTTCGACTCCGTGGAGTTCTACGTCACAGCAAACATGACCGTCTCCTCGCAGTCGCAGGCTGAGAAGGCGCTCCATCCGGGCCGGAGTTCACCACTCATATACTACTATCTGCTTAAGAAGCCCAAAAGAAGAAGTAATAATCCTTATATTGCCCTTTATCAGGAAGAAGATTTTTTATTCTTTGGGGCTTCTTAAGCAGTTAAGAGTATACCAGCACCTATACTTAGAGGCAACCCTGGAGGGCAGGAGGCCAGGGAGGGGCCTTGGATCACCCAATGCGTGCTCCATGCTCAGGCACAGTATACCAGTACACATGCCTTGTACTTGGTGACTGTGCTACAGTGAGTTTCCGAGTGTCGTCTAGGTTCAAGCGCCTGACGTCTCACACCCCCGTGCCTCGAATACAAAGTTGCAGGTCATCCAGGCGTTCCACATGACCAAAATTGCGGGCCGGTCCATCGAATGCGTGCAAGCACAGGAGCTGCCTTGCCTGGGGAGTGGATAGGTGGCGAGCTTGAGCACTCATGTCGCGTCCTCGTTCTTTCGGGGTGTTCCTGAAGTTCCTTGGATGTAGAGAGCGAGAGAGGGAGAGATTTGGAGAAAAAGGTGAGGCTCCATTTCCGCTTCACCACCCCCCCCCCAAAGCCACATTACGGACCTTCACACCCCAAAAGCCCTAAAGCAAGACTCGAAACCCTGAGTCCGCCATGCCTGCGCACGCGTCACATCCTCCAGGACCCGGGCTCACGAAGCCGAGCCCGCAGTCGGCGGCGCGAACGCAGCCGTAGTGGGCCGCGCCGTCCCTTATCGGCAGAGAGGGTTTGGGGTTGGGGTTAGGCTCTGGTAGTGAGGGCTTGGGGTTCATAGGGTTTAGCTCAAAAGGGTTTAAGTCGAAGATATTCCCCTTGTGTGTTTGCGGTTTCTTCATAGGGAGGCGGCAATTGAAGTTGTGCACGTGTAGGCCTGGTGTTGTCGCCTTGTTTGTCTGAACTGGGATCCGAATTTGCACTCAGCCAGATGCAACAAGTCTGCATGGGAGCAGAAGCCACTATGAATACTGCGTGTGCCGATTATTTTGAGAGCCTTCTGAGATTGATGTTGGATTGTGAGAAGGTCCATGCTGGGAGTTCTCTGTTAGCACTGCAGTTAGGGTTTTGGGTTTTTGGCGGGGTGTGACACCGTTGGAAAGCCTGGAAAGGCTTTAAGCCCTTCCTCATGAGGCCACTGCAGTCCCTACAGTCCCTGCACTGTACTTAGAACTGTACTTGTAACCATATTAGGGCAATAAGTGGATTATAAGTACAGTTTATACTTGGTGAATACGTACCATGAACCTCCAAGTACACACCCTGAAGCCTGCTGCAGGCGACACGCGCTCTCCACGGCCAGAGTTGCGAAGGGACCGCAGCCGGTCCGCCCCGCGCGGAGGCGGCGGAGGAGGAGGAGGAGGCCGATGGTCGAGTTTGCCCCTGTTTGCTTGAGGAGTTGTGCATTTTTTTGGCGGGGGAATGGGGGCTTAGTACCCCGTTTCTGGACAACTTGGACTCTTGGAGGGCATCGTGCACCCTTTAGACTCGGACAAGTGCCAGGACGTGATAGAAGCCGCAGTCCACGACAGCGCCGTGGTGACACCTGGAGCGACAAGGGAGGTCGGAGGGGCTTCGAGAAGCTTGATTCTTTGTATGATAGTGAAGGTACAAATCAGAACTCTTCAGGTGCAACCTCGCGCGTCTTCGAGTGTATATGCCCGGATAAAGCTCATTAATGTGGTCATGTCCATTGCGCCCTAAACCTTAAGTACACACCCGAGGCCTTAGAGTTGGGCGTGGCTTGGGATATTCATAGGCCTGTGGTCCCGGCTCATCTGACACATATTGTGGTTTGGAATATCAAGCAAATGGAATTAGGCTTCTGCCGGCCTGTGTATAGTCTAAAATCGAACCCCTATCTGTTCAGGTATCAGGGTTTGCTGGATGTTCACATCTCCTAGTGTCGAGAAGGGTGTAGGGTTTAGGGTTTAGGGTTTTGGGTTTAGAGTTTAGGGTTTAGGGTTTAGGTTAGGGTTTAGGGTTCTGCCTCTGAGGACGCTGCGGGGGTTTCGTGGGGGCAGCTTTGGGACGTGGAGCCCTAAACCCTAAACCCTAAACCCTAAACCTGAAACCCTAAACCCAAAAACCCTGAACCCTAAACCCTGAACCCCAAGCCCTTGCAGGTGGCCGTGGCGGAGGTGGTGGAGGTCGCGATGATGGCCGGTCCCGAGGCGCCTCGGGCAGCTTTGGGAAAAGGAGCGGGCGTTTTCAGGGGTTTGGCGTTTGGGTGTTCCCCCTTATACTAGCAGTCCTTAATAAGGATGAGAATAGGGCTTTTATCGGGGGTACTAGAATCCCTATTCAAACCTGTGAGTATAGATGGGAGAACATCCGAAGTTGAGGGCTTAGGGTTTGTAGGGAGGGGCCTAAAGGGCCTGAAGGGTCAGACTTGAGGCTCATTGACCAAGTAGGCTTTGAGAGGAGGAGGGCGTGCCATTCCTGCTGCATGAGCGCTGAATGCACCAGCCTCGGCCCTCCAAGCACCGCATCTGGATATGAGGCCCGAGAAGAAGTAAAGAGCACAGAGTTTGAGTCTTAAGCCATTAAAAGCATCCCAGGAGCTTGTATGCCCTAAACCTACGAGCCTTTGACAGCCTGGCACGTTTCGCAACAGGCGCGGTCTTGAGATACGACGAGGAGAAAGGGTTTGGCTTTATCAAGCCAGACCGTGGATCGGAGGAGAGGTTTATTCTGGGTTAAAAGGGTCTCTGGGCTCTAGGTGCGGTCCATGGGTTTAGGGCTTAGGGTTTAGGGCAGTCAGCAAGCCCAGCTTCAAAAGGGTTTAGGGTACGGGGGCAACCGAAGGGGAAAAGGGAAAGAAATCAACCCCTAACAGTTGCCTATATGGATTTCCCAGATCGAACCAGTAAGAGAAGAACCCCACCCTAGAGGGAAAGGCTAAGGGAGAAGGGTCGGGACTACTACCTCCCACAAAACCCAACACCCAACACACGGACACAACCTTTTCAACGAAAAGCGGACGGCTCTGGGCCATCTTGAGCCAAATATGATTTCCGGGTTCATTGACCCATCCAACCCCAACACGAACTCCTTTCTACAATACCAATTGCAGCTCCGCACTCCCCCTGTCCTAGGATTTCCTAGGACACCTTGGAGGTGCAGATATTTTGGCCAAAAACTGCCATTAAGGCAGCAGCCAGCTGCTTGAAATGCATGTTATGGTTTAACGTCTTCCAGGACGGAATTATAGCACATTGGCTAACCTACTACCCACAGAGAATCTCTTTTCACCATGATCCTCTCATCACTGAAGACTCCTTGGCCTTCTTCACCACAAACCGTGGTCTTCGCTACGCGAAAAGCTACTGACTTCTACTATCAGGGATTTCCATACCCTTAATATTAACCACCACATTTGTCAGCACATTGGCTGTTCCAGCGCACCTGTCTCCAGAAAGAGAAAAACCATCCCTTCATCCATACCTTCCAATCACTTCTTTTTCCGATTGTTGGCAATCTTGAGGTGAAGTTGCAGCAGAATATACTCCAGGTCCGAAACTGTAAGAACAGGATCCTGTACACCCCTTTGAATTGAGGATACCAATCCTTCTCTCTTTGCGTCCTCAATCGCCTGGCAAGATTGACCCAGCTCTGCATTCGCAGTGGCAGACCCTGGTGCATCCGCATCAGATGGACGATCCTTTTCCTCAGGATCTTGCACCATTACCACCTCTTCTTTTTTGGGACTCTGACTTTTCTCCTTCTTCTTTGTCTTTCCTCCGACATTTGACTTTGTGCGCACTTTCGAGGCTTTTTCTACTGCAGAAACCACCACATTGGATGATGATCCACCCTTCTCAATGATCGCCGGCATCTTCTTCGGCTTTGGAACCATGAGAGTGTAAGGATCTTCGATAGCTGCAGCTTTCCTCTTCTTTTTTACCTTTTTCTTCTCCTCCTCAACGGCAACCTCCGTCTCCGAAGTCTCAACCACTTCTTTTTCGGCAGGAATATCCTTGCTGGACTCCCTTTCTAGGGACCTCTTTTTGCCTCTTTTGGAATCCTTTTCTTCTCCCAAATTGGCTCGCTCGTACCATATCCTCAGGTCATTGACCCATTCTTCCACCTCCGTGAGCGAAACCTCATAAAACTTCACAACTTCGAGAAGTTCCAGCACGGTCAACATACCAGTGGTCCACGAAACCCATACTTGATCCATTTGGTCAGTATCTCCAGCGAACTTCAGGAGTTTGAACAATGGGTCCGCCTCTGCTCGAGCCAAATCTGGCTTGCCATTGGACAGAAATGAAATCGCCTCCATCAACAGTTCCGTCATCTTGGTCTCTTCGTCATAAACCATAAAATCCTCCTCACCATCATCGAACTGTTCAGGAGAGATCTCCTTTTCACCACCATTTGCACCAGAACTTCTCCTTGGACCATCCCTTGGGGGCGTCCTTGGAGACCTTGGCCTCTGTTCTTCCAGCGGAACATCATGCCCGAAGACACACCTGTCACCAAACCGACACTTCCCAGACCGAGCAAACTGGATGCACCTCACACCAGTTGCATCATGCGAGAACTCACAATCCTTTCCAGCGAAACATTCTCTCCCTGCCACATAGTATTTGCACCAATACGAATGTAGCACCACATCATCTTCGGAATGGATGAATTTGCAGTCGTCACCAAATTTGCAGCGATCTTTCCCCTTGCCGAACCAATAGCAGAAGCCCTTCTTCCTCTTCTCCAAGCGCTCTGCCTCATACCGGTCCATAGGGCGATTGTGCTCTACATGAACATTGCCATGTACCTGGGGACTGCTCCCTTCACCCGACGTGCTATCAGTATTTGGTGCTTGGAGTACAGCTGGAAAACCTGGCCTTGGTCCTACCACCTTCATGATTGGTTTTCCGCCAACTCCTGAGCCATGCTGAGACGATCCAAAAACATTGAACATCTTCTTGAAGGACTTTCTAGTGCCAATCTTCTGCACCCTTTTGATTGGACGTTTCATTGCTCCAACCTTGCATCCAGATGCGCTCAAACGACACAACCTCCTATACCCAGCTCTATATCCCTTCTTCCAAAGAGCCATAAGAATTTTAGAGGCAGTAACATTCTCCACCTCTACTTTTTCCAATGGTCCCTCACTTCCCGGAACAAACCCATCCATATCTGAAGACCTTTCCATCTTTTTTGACACCACTTCGTCGAGGTAGTCTTCCGAGATCCAGGGTAAGTTCCTCTTAGAGGAAGGATTGTCATCATTGCTTGGTCCTTCACCAGGATACCCTTTTGTGCTGTCAAAGATCTTACCAGTAGTGCGGTCCTGCATAGAGAAATTCGAAGCCACGCGGGAGTACACTGACCACAAGAAAATCCTTGTGTCCGCCAGTCTTGATGATCCACTGGATGTCTCCTCTTCCGGAGAAACTTCTGGCGCTTTGCCATCCCCTCCAGTGTCACCACTTGTCTCACCTCCAGCATCTTCAATGGGAATAAGGGATTCATTGTTCCCTTGATCAAGCACCGCATCCTCTGGTCCAAGAACTTCCAGCACCGCTGTCGAAGGATCCACCTCTTCATCAGCATCGTCGTCCATCCTTTTCCAGAGAGCCTCCAATTGGTCCGCACAAGTCGCCGCTTGAAGGAACTCCATCAACCGGGCCCTCCCGCGCTGCCAGAGAAATTCCGAAACCATCACCGACCCCTGGGCTCCAAGATTCAGGAACGGGTGAACCATTTTGGCTACCCTCGCCATAAGTTCAATGTGAACTTCCATGCCTGGACTGCGACTCCAATCATAGGCAATTGCCTCCATAGCAGTTCCAAACTTGTCAGTATTCTTGAATTCCCCTTCCAGACCAGGAGACAACAAGGCACCCATCACCGAAAGAGGGTAATTTCCCACCGCCGGCAAGCACGGGTTGTCATGGAACGAATGATGCAGGTCACTATAATGTCCTTGATCTCTCCTTTGAAAAAGGAGTGCTCCAGTCCCTAGCTGGGCATTCATTTCATCCACTTGAACCATTTCAGCACATATCCTCTGTGCCATGTACGCCATTGCTGGCCAGACGGAACGATCGGTAAGACCGCGACGCATAACCCAATCAGTTGTCGGCGACTGAATCAGCGTCCTTGGATCATACACCAGAACTACCATCGCACCGTCACCCATTGACTGATCAGCATCGTCCTCCAGTGCCAGGTTCTCATCCTGTTCGCTTGCACCCTCGGATGACATGCTAATAACCAAATTTCGATCCATCTTATTGGACCCTTTTTGGCAGTCTCTTTGCCCCACAGGCAACTTGCCAACAGCAACCTTCCAATAAATCCGAGTCAGAAGACCTTTAACCAGCAATTGCTGAGGGTCCATCTTCACCGGACAAACATCCAATATCTTCGCCCCATCACCACGGAGTTCATTGCTCCTACCTTCTCCTTCTTTTTGGTCAGAAATTTGTACTGCTCCTTCCAGCGCCGTCTCCTGTCCAGCCACTTCTTGCCCAGGAAGAACTTGAGCGCTTTCAGATACATTCACCTGTCCAGCAACACCTTGCCCAGGTAAAACCTCATCCGTGGAGCCCACCGCCAGCGAACCAACCATAACTGAACCATCCCTTGCTCTTTTTTGAGACCGTTCAGCTCGACGAGAAGGTTGTGGTAGCGAAAAAACTTGTGAAGTCACTTCTTGGCGGGTCTCCCCCCGCGACGCTTTGTCGCGCCCCTCGCCAAGGTGAACCGATTTTTTCGGCCCGTCATTGGAGCCTGAAGAACCACTTTGCGGAACATTGCCACGATTCGCAGTTCTCTGTGAATCCCTTTCTTGCAAAAAGATTTTCTTCAGGCGTTGTACGGCATTGGTCTCCTCTTTGCTTGAATCGCTTGAGGAAGCGGCATACGAGACCAAGGCCTCCGCCTGTTCATCATCATCCACCACATCTGCCCACGCTCTGCTGAACCGATACGACAACCCACCACGAGGCTTCAGTTCCAGTGGCTTCGGCTTTTCCACCACTTCCGCCGGTTGCACTCGTCGTTGTGACCGAGAGCGTGGCACCTGTCGCACCTGTTTTTTGTCCAGCAAGGGCCTTCCCCTTCTCACAGGGTTTGATCTTGACCGATATTTTTTTGTTGGTGGATTCACCGGCGGCATTCCAACTCCCACCAACCGCAGCTTCTGTACGCACAACGGAGACCTCTGCGCAAGCGTCCAACCATCACGGTACCTGACCTTATCAAAAAGCTCCCGATAGGAGCCTCTCGGCATGGTTTTTGCACCGGAGTCTTCAGCTTCACGCACCTGAGTGAGGGTTCGCACCGCCGCTCTTCCAGTTCCTTTGTTCCCAGAAGATTGTTGTACCCGTACAGATGCATCAGAAGGAACTGCTTTTTCCGGTCCTCCCGGGCGATATCGGACATCACCAACCAATTGCAGAATTTTGCATGCGGTCACTTTGTTGATCCCTTTGTCAACCAAATCTTCCACAAAGATGAACTCTTGCAAGTCCGACACATTGGTCACACCAAGCGTAATCATCACCTCACTTACATGAGGGGTATACACCC